AGAGAAAGAGAGAGAGAGAGAGAGAGAGAGAGAGAAAGGAGGGGTGGGGATAAGGGAGGGAGCAGAAACCTAGACGTTAAGGTCGTAGCTCGAAGGCATCTACACGCGATCCTCCACATGCCTTCCAAAGGCGAAGTGGATGATATCCCGAGATTCCGACGTTTCTCTCTACCAATGCCAGTTGGTGTTCTCTCGCCTGTGTGAGTCCGTTCGCTTCGGTAATATGCTAACCCGAGCGCTACTAACGTAACTGGCTAATTGTTAGTTATTGCACCAATTGCATTAGGTTCTAAGTCCGGCCTTACCCTATACCAGCTAGCTAGCTAGCTATCGTTACATCAACCTCGGTTCGCAGATACCACGGCGATGTTCTCCTTCTCGTAACGACGTGCCATGACACGGATTGACCCTCGTAATATGCCTCGACAACAGGTGGATGTATAGTAGAATCGATGCTTATCCCGTAGGAAGTGAAGTTGATGCTTCCTAGAGCTATGATGGATAATTCCAAGGATTTATCGAACAATCGTGAAACTAACCATCTACGATGGCATTCTTATCCGACGGGATTGACTTTCTCCATCGAAGGGAGAACAAATCAATATAAAAGTTACATAACGTTAATGACGACGGTACATCGAGTAATCGATTCCTAACGATTTTAAATGTCCTTCATCTCGAACAATCATTCCTCTATCAACCACATTTGGGAAAACTAATCCGAAGGGAACAATGAGGGTGACTAGGGGAAACCACTTTGAAGCCAAAGTATGGAAGAAAAGTGAATAAAGGAGAAAGAGAGAGAAAGAGAGAAAGAGAGAGAGAGAGAGAGAGAGAGAGAGAGAGAGAGAGAGATGAGAGGGGCAACTAAGTGCCGTAGAAAATTACTGCGTCTGGAAAGAGATAGAGATAGAGATAGAGAGAGAGAGAGAGAAAGAGAGAGAGAGAGAGAGAGAGATAGAGAGATAGAGATAGAGAGATAGAGAGAGATAGAGAGAGAGAGATAGAGAGAGAAAGAGAATGAGAAAGAGAGAGAGAGATAGAGAGAGAGAGATAGAGAGAGAAAGAGAATGAGAAAGAGAGGAGAGAGAGAGAGTACGAACCGCCCGCCAGGACCATTTCCGTCGTTCTGATTCTTTTAGCGCGAATTTGACCCTCGTCGAGGACGAAAGAAACGAAGCGCGTCTTCTCGCAATTAAGTTACCGAGCGAAGAGAAAAAGAGGGTGGAGATGGTGAAGCAGGAAGATCGTCGCCGTCGGCGAACGGTGGATATTTGCGCAACTCCATTTGCGAAATTAGAGATCTTTTCGTCCGTGGGATGGCAATCGGCTGGAGAGCAGAGGTGACGCGGCACAATGGTGACGCGTCGATCTCTTCTTTCTTTTTATATGGTTCTGTATCTCTCTCTCTCTCTCTTTATCTCTTTCTTTCTCATTCTTTTTCTTTTTTTCGTTATCGATCCTTTTCATTGCTTTCCTTTCCTCAATTCATCTTTTTTTCATATCTATCTAACATACAATACTCTCGTTTTAATAATCTATCTCTATTACTCTCTCGATTTAATACGCTATCATTGAAATTATCTGTGTAATTCCCTTTCTGTTTACTTTTGCTATTATACGAAGAAGCTCCTTTTACCCTTTGATACACTTAATGCTAACACGCCTGTAAGACATTCTAATCTCTAGCTCTTACAACCCTTCGCACTGCGGATTCAAGCATATCACCATGTCTATTCGTACCTATGGCTATAACGATAAGTATCTATCTTATTTCTTCTTTTTACCTCCGATTTTGCCATCAATGGATAAGGAATCCTCTTTTCCTAACATTTAGAGGGAGGATTCACCATAGAACGCGTACACTCCTTCCTTATCTTCTCCAGAAAGAATTTGAACACAGAAGTGGTTATTCCGTGTCCACGTGTGTCGGTAATATCGTATTTCTTTTTTTTGTCTTTTTTGGTTTTGTATTTCTTTTTTTTTTTTAGTTGGGAGATGTTTATCTACGATCGCGGCGGCTACGATGATATTTCATTTTTTACAGATTGTTTATCTCCGAATTCGTATGATCATCATCATGTATCTCGAACGATCTCTGATAAATATAGTCTTTTTGAAAAAACGAATGAATTTCTACGTTTTCGAGGATACGAATATGGTAAAAGGATGGGATTGTGGACCGGGTTTAATAACCACTCCTTGTCAAATTTTTCAGCAAAGTGACTTTATTTTTTCCTTTATCATGTTCTCTCCTTCCTTCTTTCTTTATAGTTTAGTATACACAGAGCTGGTTTTTTTTTTCGTAAATCCGTTGCTATTTGCATCCCTATATTCTTTCGTTGCTTCTCATACTTGTAACTATAGTGCCGTTTAACTTACACATTTGATCGATCTTTCCAATTTTTAATGTGAGCTGAGATCTATCGTTTTTCTTTTTGCGCTATCAGTGCAAGTGTAAGAAGCAGTTGATAAAATAAAAAAGAACGCTCTCTCTCTCTCTCTCTCTCTCTCTCGCTCTTTCAATCTTACCATAATTCATTCATTTTTACATATCACGATAATGAGATACAAACACCGAACCGAAATTGTATCGTCCATCTAATTAATTATTCAATGTTATTAATAAATAATAATTATAATAATGACAATGAGAGACGATGATGACGATGTGTGACGATAATTAACAGTAATAATATCGATTAATTCGCAATAAAATAAAAAATAGAATAAAAAAAGAAAAAAGAAAAAGAAAGATTCATATCGTTTAAACTTTTCTCAGTTAATCTTATGGACTTAATTGTCCGTCTCTATATATTCCCTTTTTTCTTTATTTTCATTATTCTTCGTTTTACTCTACACATCTGCGTATACTATATACAATTGGCGAGTTGCCTCTCTATCTCTATTTACAGTCACAAAAAGTGTTTCAATTTTCTTTTTCTTTCCTTTTCTTCTTATTTTTTTTACCGTGCCCACACAACCGGCAATAAGGCCACTCTCGCCCACTGCTAAACGAATCTTCGAATTTTTCGATTACATCTTATCTTCGAACTTTCTCTTTCTCTCTCTCTCTCTCTCTCTCTCTCTCTCTCTCTCTCTCTGTATATTTTTTTATAATCGTCCATATCGTTTTTAAGTGAGATTGTGCAAGCACGGCACAAGTAACAAAATAAATACTGACTAGTCCGCCTTTAGTATCATTATATCATCAACGATATAAAGAGAAAAGAAAAAAACGTGAAGTATATAGATAATACTCGATAATATTGAAAGATAAAAAAAAAAGTATCGTCCAAAAAGGGATGCTTGAAATTATTTTTCTGATATTATTGGACGATAAAAGAAAGAAGAAAAAGAAAAGGAAAACGATTCTTTAAGGAAAAAAAAAAAAAAAAAAAAAAAAGAATCTTTACGTATCATCGGATCCTTTTTCTTTGCATTCTTATAGAACCTCGTAGAAATTAAGAAAAAAAGAAAAGAAAAAAAAATACGAGAGAATGCAAACCGCAGTTGTCGAGCTTACAATCAAATATAAAAAATGATAAGAGTTAGGAGTTTTAATCGGAGTTCTTTCGGAAGTTTCCGCTCGCTGAATTCCGAAAGACACTGGAGACTATCTATCTAAGAGCTCAGGATAGAATCCGTTCGTTCTATCTTAAGGGCGACGAGAAAAGTAGGGAAACGCTTCGTTTTGGGCCGAGAGATCGAGAAGAAGAGCGGAAAAAAGTGAAAAAATAGAAAAAGAAAAAAAGAAGAAAAGGAAAATCTCCTTTCGACCCAGGAACGAAAATCCTCGTGTTTTCTCGTGCTATCTCAAGGGATATGTGAATCATCTTTTCGTGTCCACTTGTGACTTCGTGTAGAAAATTATAGTTTCGCGTTAGCGTTCGTGCGTGCGAGTTTACGTACAACATGGTGAGCAACGAACACGCCATGAAGCTCTCTCTTTCTCTCTTTTTATCTCTCCCTCTCTATATAAGGATACTTTTTGCATAGGACGACGTATGTCACGTATCTTGAACATTCAGGTAAATTTCCTCCGGTCTGGTGAGGAGTTGATGTATCTGCTGCATCGTACAGAGCGGACACATCTCCTCCTCGGTGCCGTCGGCAATGATTCGCCTCGCCGTTCCGGGTGCCTTTCTGTTGTACCACGAGTCAAGGATATACGCGTATCCTTCGGAGTCAAGGAGATTCGAGGAGGTCGCTGAAGAAGACGCGGGAAACCTAAGAGCCGTTTTCGAGGATGTCATTGCAATGGGTGGAGGAGGAGGTGGCGGCGGTGATCTTAAGGACTCGAGGTCGGTATCCTTAAAATCGATATACGAGTAACCTTCGGAATCAACGGAGTGTCTTCTAATAGGATGTTCTTGGTCTTCCGAAGGAGAGATCGTTCTTGGATCTGTTCGATAGAAAGTGGGACTACTATTCTTACTGCTGATAGGATTCGTTTGAGCTTTTGATCTATGCGTAGGTGTGATGGGTTGTTGTTTGTTAGGGAGTCGAGGACGAGTAGAAGGATAACAGCTAGAATCATTGTTGTTACTGCTGCTACTGTTGTTGGTGGTTCGATCGTTTTCATCATTAGGATTTGTGATTTTGGGAGAGGATGATCGTGAATGTGAGATTGGGCTAGATGGTAAAGGTTGTTGACTGGTTATCAATGCGTTTTGTGTAGCTAGAAGAAGATGACTGTTCAGCAACAAGTTGTTATTGCTTTGGGTATGACAAATGTTACTGTTATTCGTAAGAGTGGAAATTGTACGCGGCGCGTGTGTCGCGATGGAAAGCGAAACTTCCTGAGATTTGGCGAGTAATGCTCGTGGCGTACGGTAACCACCTAAGACCGCTCTGGAGGGTTTCTCCGTGACGCGAAGTATTGCCCTTGGGTCCCGGTAGTCGAGATAGTCGAGGTGATGGGGCGCAGGCGCGCGCAATGTGGCCTGCGGTTGTCGCTCCCGTAGGTGTTCCCGCTCTCGGGGATTTGTACCTCGTACCTCGATCGTCGGCGCTTGACCGATAGGATGGTGACTCGGCAAGTGATTGTGCAGCTGGGAGTGCGTCATAGCGTCCGGCAAATCCTCGTAGAGAACGGCGGCGCTGGTGTTGCCCGAACCACCGTGAGATTGGCAGTCCGGAAGGACCCGCGTCCGGCCTGCGGCTGCGGCCGCTGCTGCACTTGCTGCGCTCTTGCACGGCAATAGATTTTGGACTTTTCGTTTGTGCCTAAAACAGAACAAGACGATGTTCCTTTAATGATGAATCTTGATACATGAATGTAATAAGCGCGTTTTATATTTAATCATGAATATATGAGAATGATTTTCTAAGAAAGAATAGACAAATTGAAAAATTCCTGATTATATTATTTACCATGGACAGCTCGATTGAAATATTCCTTAATAAATTCCGTTAATCAAAGTTTAGAGTTATTTTTTTTTTTTTAAAGAATAGAATTCATCAAAGACCGTATGGATATATTCTACTTTATTCTCATTTCTCTGTGTTCTCATTATGACAAATCATTTCCATTCCTCACGTTCTCGTTCCTCGTTCGTAGTCATACCAGATTAGTTAGGAGCTCGTTGTAATTGTTTGTACAAGCGGACTTTGGCTAGATGCGTACGGGCAGATGCGCACACTCTCGAGAGTGTTCTTCTTCAATGTAAACTTTAATGAATCGGAGAGGTTGTGGAGGAGGAAGTTGTTGGGATGGCCAGCCTTTGCCTATCAGTACCGTTTCATACGTTCATTGGTTGGTGGTTGGAGTTACTAGCCGTTGACTGTACGTTCGAGAGTACTGAGATGTGTGTACCAAAGTAAGTATACATGTATACATAGGTATAATATATATCTATATGTGTGTGTACATAGTATATATACAAACGTATGTATCCTTCTATGTAACTCAACCGGCATATTCGACATAAAACGCGTCTCCGTTCGTTCCACTATCACCCTTTCTCCTCTTCCTCTTCTCGAGTCGTTACCCTACTACTAGCCCTCCGCCTCTGTTAATCACGGTGAGCACGGTGAAAGCGTTTAAATTCGCCACATCCAACTCGTTGGGGTGCTACCGGCTGTGGTGGTACTGTGCTGGAGACGAAAGGGAAGGGATTCATTTATCCGAAAGGATCTGCGGTATAAATGTTGGGGGAAAGAGGAACGCGAGGGAAGGAGAGAGGTCGAGAGGTCTGCACTACGGAGATAATAACAACGGTAACGTACACTTGCATCTATGCTTCTCTTCTCTCTTTCATTGCTTATCTTTTCTCTTGATTTTTTCCTATTTCAAGGATTTTCTTATCAATCTAGCTACACTATTACATATCTACATTCACAAAGATGTTACGAAAAAGATTCTAAAAACGACAATTTTTTTCTTTCCATATCATATAAAGTTGAATGTTTGGTTATTGATTTTTAGTGAATAGGATTCAAGTGCTTTGAACGATTTATTTATTTATTTATTTATTTAATCTACAATTTTAAAAATAATAATGTCAATCGATATTCATCTAAGTGTTTTTTCTATATGTATCTAATAATAGGAACGCAGTAGTGGGATCAATTGGAAAATATAGTGAAGATCGTAGAAAAAGAGAAGGATCGATCGATCATTTTCAATGGATTTAAATTAACAATATTGTTCAAGAGAACTACAGAGAATGTTCGTTAATAAGATCAATTTTCAAATAATGTTTGAAGATAGGAAGAAGAGTGATAAGACGATACTTCGTTACATCGTAGATAGAGAAAAGCTTATGTATATCCCGGATATATACTTCCATAACTTTCAAGGAGTAGTAGGAAATTGTAAAGAAGATGAAAGAAGAAGAAAATGTTGGATCCTTGAAACATGCTCCAATTCCTCCATCTTCTCTCTATCATTTGGTATCTCTCCTTCTCTCTCCCTTTTCCTCCACAGACCTTCCCCCATCTCTATCTCTCTCTTTTTCTCGTTCGGATAGAAACGTACAATATATCTATACCAGGATTCTCAAAGTACCACGTAGTTAAGTGGTGTATCTTCCAAGTTTTAATTATCTAGTTAACTCTGTTTGGTTCGATAATATTTGCTTTTATAATTAAACTACTCGGTAAGAGGCTAACAACCGGAACGGTATACCTAACATTTTCGTCAGTAGGTCGAAGGAAAAGAAGGTGAAATCTATGGATTGCGAATCATAAAGCGTGTAGAATGAGTGGGGTAGGATAATTGGGATATATAAAGAAGAAAATCAGCTCGACTGGCTCTGACGTTTGACATAGCCAAGGTTAATCCAGCAAAAAAAGCGAAGCTTTTTCGGATTATTGACTACCAAGAAAGTTGCTTCGCTTCAATCGTCTTTCATTTTTTTTTTTTCTATGTAAGGCCCACTGAGACATTAAACCTTCCAGATAACTCTTTTGGTCCACCGTCATGATAATTATAATGTATTGCCATTATTCATATTACTAACTTTACATGAAACCGAAATTCCTACTATAGGACACTTTAAAATGTTTGGAATATACGTAAATTAGTTACAATTTGGAAAGTAATCGATCAATTTATTTTAAATTATTATAGAAACAACAAATTTTCACGTTCCATTAAAGTTTCTTTTTTTCTTTTTTTCTAATTATTCTTTTTTTTTTTTTTTTGAAAGTTCGACATTAAAGTATTTATAATAAAATTGGTTTCATTTTTAAAGTTTTTAAGCGATCAGTCTGAAATTTTTAGCCTTTTTTTAGATAAACTCCGTGAGCAATTTTATTAGATTAGGTTCAAACAGTTTATTGTTATAGTTTATAAAAGTTTCCATGCATAAACATATTTAGAAAATTTTATGAAATATTTTGTTTCTATGAAAAATTATGGAAAAAGAGAGAGAGAGAGAGAGGGAGAGAGAGAGAGAGAGAGAGAGAGAGAGAGAGAGAGAAAGAAAGAAAGAAGAAAGCGGCTTAAAACATATTATCGATTATAAATAAACGTGAACCGCTAATTTATTACCATATAACCTATTTGTTTAAAGAAAGAAGAGGACAGATCTTTAAGCTCAAACAGACATAAATTCGTCTAGAAGAAACACATAGAACAAGGATAGTAGGATGTCTTTTTGAATTGTATGGGTCAGCATCCTTTCTGAGTTTCATGTTCGACGATCTAAACCGAAGTCTTTGCATCATATTCACGCCAAGCTGATTTTGTATAGAAAGAGAGAGAGAGAGAGAGAGAGAGAGAGAGAGAGAGAGAGAGAGAGAGAGAGAGAGAGAGAGAGAGAGAGAGAGAAGAGAGAGAGAGAGAGAGAGAGAGAGAGAGAGAGAGAGAGAGAGAGAGAGAGAGAGAGAGAGATAAACGTGCACAGATTCGTCTTTTCTCTCTCTCCCTCTCTCTCTTTAAAGTTCGATATTTCAATTTGCCTAATGCCAACTAAATCACCGAAATTAGAAAGATAAGTGAATATATTAATTTATTTTTACCATTAGTTTTAACAATCCTTTAACAATATAAAAAGATCTCTTATTTTTGAACTATTTCAAAATCGTACAATCATCTCCAAGAGAAAATTATAAATTAAAAACCAAAATGACACATAAGCAATTAAATCGTTTCAAATAAATAAATCGTTTCAATTAATTGTTTCGTTGATAATCATTATGTAAAAGAGATTTTAATCTGAACAACTTATTTATATTTCAATCTTAAAAGAAATGTGTAAAAATATAAGAAATCTTTCTATAGGAACTTTTAATAGTTTCTTTTGTCCCATAGATAAAATGAACTTTTGAACGAACCTAGAAAACTTTCTCATCTTCGTCGAGAGAAAATAGAAAGGTTCGAGAAGTAAGTTTGCGAGAAAAAGAAAGCGAACGTTCATCGGTTGTAATAGTATGATTCCAACGTGAGAAAGTTAGCACATAAGAGTAAGTTCTCGTAGAACATCTTAAGTATGCTTAGACACGCAGTTTCCTATATATACCTATAACGCCCAACAAAGTCTTCTTAGTAGATTGCCCCAGTCCTTCGAGCATTCAACCTCCCATTTTCCCTTCCTTCTCCATCTAACCTCAACTGTTAACGTTCATTTCATCAACAAACTCATCTCCTTTCTGTCTATAGCTTTTACTCAACCGCGTACAAGCTGCGGTATGTTGTTGTGGCTGCCAAAGCTCCTTTATAGGTTCAGTAGCGACAATCGGATATATGTGCTATACAAAATTAAGCTGAATTTTGATGTTTCAGTCAAACATCGGTAATTCATTGTAGTAACAATTAATTTATATAGATATCTATATAGAAATAAATAACATTTATTAGAGAGGGAGAGAGAAAGAAAGAAAAAGAGAGAGAGAGAGAGAGTATTTAATAGTAAATATGATTTGATCGATGCATTTCCGCGAAATGATTTCAATAAGTTAAGAAATCGATTATAATATATACGTATTGATATTATTTACAATAAGAAAATTTGAAAGATTTATCGAATATTATTCATAGTTTATTTATTTTTATTTTTTTTTTATTTTTATAATAAATTTAAAAAGTATGTTCATCACTCCTTTCTATAGCTCATATAAAAAGATTGTTGTTTATATTCCTAGTGTAATAAAATAAATTCGAGTTCAAAGAGGGTTGAATAGATTCGCGCAACAGCTTTGACAACTTTTTCTCTCTCTCTTTCTCTTTCTCTTTCTCTTTCTCTCTCTCTCTCTCTCTTTCTCTCTCTCTCTTTCTCTCTCTCTCTCTCTTTCTCTCTCTCTCCGAGTACAGTACATTCGCGTTCAAGTGACCGTGAATGAGTACTGATCGTTTATTCGTACCCAATACAACAAACAAGTGGTTTTTTAATTTTCTAATCGGAGATATGTTTTTGTATTAAAACCAATGAGAAAATAGTACGTAATCGTTGGAATTATTTGTATCTATTTGTTCGTATCAATACAACAAACAAAACATTAAAAGATCTCTTGTCTCTTGGTTTATCATTGAATTACTCTCAAGAACTAAACAAAATCAAGTTTCGAAGTCTAGTTCTATTTGAATTACCAACTATTACTAAGGTAAGTGAAGATCTACAATAACCGTCTTCCTAGAGAGACCAAAGGTTTCGATAAGGTTTATTGAAGCGAGGTCGAGTCGAATCGAGTCGAGCCGACTAAGGTTGAGGACACGATAGCCATCGATAGATTTCATCTTGGTAACCACCAAACGGAAGCAGACAGGAAAGTTTCAGTTTGCT